ATATTTCTGCCTAATTCTAGAATTTGAGTCCAAACATCCAAGAGCTTGAGTAATTGTGTTAAGCAAGATCGTCCCGGTATAAAACCATGTTTGCAGTCCTTTACAAGGTTGTTTCGTAGTAGATGTTCCATCATGACATTTCTTGTGCCAGATTGATGTTAGAGAAGTAATTCTAAAGTGTTTTGTGATTAAGACAGTAAAATAAATGACCTAAGACGTTGGTTTTCTGCAGGAAATCAGCCAAAACCTAGTATATTTAGAAAGTGAGTCATCTTAAATAAGAAATGCTGGCCCGCTCACCAATCTAAAATATAAACTCCCTTGTCTCAGGGAGGGAGGAGTGTCTGGAGTGCATGCACCGGGGTGTTTAACAGTTTACAGATGCAATGCATTAGTTGCAACGATGGGGTGCAACCCTTGGTAATGCTGCCCCAGCTGGCTCCACACTAGTCTAATGCCCGCAAACCGCCTTTAGAGCTCATTAGAGCCTAGGGGCGTCGCCGTGTTGTGGTCAAAGGCAGGGGTTATAGTCTGGGCATCAATGTACGTATAGCGGGTGTACGTTGGATCATAAGCAATCATACATGAGTACAAACTTTGTTTCACTGACTGTACAGTAGACACTTGGTCGCCTCGTCTACCTACTTGTGTATGAATTATAATTGTGAATATATTGCCACATATCAGAATTACGTCTCTCTCCTCTTGTAACAATAAAAAAAGGTTTTATTATTCCTTTTCTATTCTTTTATTTCTTATTTGCTTTTCTTTTTACTTCTTATTTACCTTTCTTATATTTCTTTTATTCTCTTTTCTTCTGTCTCGTTTTATTTGAAAGATGGTGGAGGGAGAATTGAGGGAAGGAGGGAAAGAGGGAAGTACTTGTTTTTTTATATTATTTATTGGGCACCCCCCTACATCCTTGTGTAAGGTGAAGCGCAGAAGCGTTTACAGCGCCCAACAGGGAAGCATGCTAAGTTCATGCTTGCCTTTATGTCTCATGAGTTAAGGGCGTAGAAGCCTGAAGAGTCAAGGGCATAGAAGCCTGAAGAGTCAATGGCTTATGTCTAAGCAAGTTATTGGAAGCTCCAACAATTTGTCCCTGAATACGAATTTGCAACTTTCGATTTACAGCAGGTACTATCGTGGACAAAAGTTCGCTCCTTCCCAAACTGAAGCAGTATCGACCCGCACAGCACACCCACACCAAATAACAATCAGGGTAAGTCAGTTCGGAGACTCATTCCCATGTCTCAGTTTCACTACAGGGAGCGAACTTTTGTCCACGATAGTACCTACATTGCTGCTAGGTGAACAGGGACCAAGGAAGACTGGGAAGTATGTCCGAACAACTTTCCACCGGGTCGGGAATCGACCCCGTGACATTGTAGTGGATATTTCCCCTACAACTACAACTGCCGTTTGTCGCTGACTAGCCGACCCCTTTTCGAATTCCCTAGCCAACGCCTCGTGGTCTAAGGTCGGCTACTAGCGCCGCCTAACAAGGCGGAGGTCAACTGTGAAGCCACGCCTACCTCTGCTATATAAGACCTCACCTCGCCATGACCTGCCCTTCTTCTACCTACAGCCATGCAGCAAGCAACACCTCCTCTGAGCACGCGCCTCACCAACCAGCTCTCTACTCCATGCTTGTAACCATGCTGCAACTTCCCAGCACCAAGCTGCACTGAACATCCAATACAATATATATACAGAGAGCGCATTGTGCGTTTCCTTTCTCCAACCTATTCTGAGTGTGAGACAACATCACGAAACCCCACAAATGGCGAACCCCGGAGAATCGCACTCACACAGGATGGAAGAGAAACTGATCATTCTCCCAGTCTTCAATCACAACATTGAAGACTGGCTTATCCACACGGAGGCAGCTCTCATCGGCTCTACAGCTACAGTCCCTACACCGCAGGTTAGACACCCCAGAGCAGCTCTGCTCCTCCAAGCATGCAGCTGCTCCTCTTCCTGCCCCAAGCACCACGTCCTACCGACCCCAACACACCCGTCCTGCCTCAGACGCCGCCCCCAACCCCCAGTACAGTGTATCTACCCCCTGTTGGAACCATCAACGTTTTGGTGCTAACGCTGTGAGGCTCCCTGCAACCACCAGGCGAAGCGACATCGACGGAGACGGGTAGGCGCCATAACCTCCATCACAAGCCTTACTTCTGACCTTGACCACTTCACTCCTGCTGCCTGTCACGACCTACTACAAACACTACGTAAGGCGGTTTCTGCATTCAAGGCTACTGCTCCACGCCAGCCTTCCAACCGCCCTGAAAACAATTCAACTCGCACCTCCTCCGCCAGTCTGCCCACCATTACCCTTTGCAGCACCACCTCTTTTCTTCCTCAGGTACCCACTGTACCTGTCTTGCACCCTGCTGCTGTCATGGACCCTCCTCCTGACGTGGGCCCTGCTCCTGACGCGGACCCACACACCCCACCAGGCGCTACTGAGGACTGTGTACCTGCCGCGAGAGAAGCACCACATTCTTCGCCTCCACAACCCTCCTTCTCCCTCTGCTTCTCCCACAGATATCGTGTATCTTGACAAAGTTGTCTCCTCTAGCGGCCGGCTCATCCACACCTTCGCCTGTTATGTCTCACATGTGGGATACAACCCTGCAGACAACAAGTCTCCTGCACCGCCTGGAGGGATGGGGGAGTATTGTAGTGGATATTTCCCCTACAACTACAACTGCCGTTTGTCGCTGACCAGCCGACCCCTCTTCGAATTCCCCAGCCTACGCCTCGTGGTCTAAGGTCAGCCTCTAGCGCCGCCTAACACAGTGGAGGTCAACTATCAAGCCACTCCTACCCCCGCTATATATGACCTCACCTCGCCGTGACCTGCCCCTTCTTCTACCTACAGCCATGCAGCAAGCAACACCTCCTCTGAGCACTCTCCCGAACCAGTGCTCTCTACTCCACGCTTGTAACCACGCTGCCACTTCCCAGCACCAAGCTGCACTGTACACCCAATACAATATGTATACAGAGAGCGCAGTGTGAGTTTCCTTTCTCCAACCCCTCCTGAGTGTGAGACAACATCTCGCTTGCGAGGCTTGTTTATGTTTGAGGCTGGCTGAGGGTTGTTAGGGAATGTGGTCAGGGGTAGAGGCCTACAGTGGGCCCTCACACCAAGGGGAGACTGAGGAGGTGGATGGCTGGGGACTTCTAGGACTAAGATACAACATTTAACAGAGGGGAAATATGAAATAGTTATTACTTAGGGCTCACTGTATTACTGTATACCACTAAAGACACTTAGAAAGGACAATACTCTATTCTGTACACGAGGAAATTGGGAACTAATCATAACGGTTCTTCATTTATTAACGACGTCACTCAAAATGGACAGTTACACTTTAAAACAATAACCTATCTTCCTAGCTAGCTAAGCAGGGGTCACATGAATCACAATACATTTCGTGAAACAGAAAAACCTAAAAGGAACTCACATTATACCCCGCCATATGAGAGGACACCCACACGCATCCACACTTAACTCTCTCCAAATCCAGACTGTTTTTCAAAATGTGTCGCCCACAAAAGGACGCTACCTTTTCATGACGTCACGTCTCACAGGTTATCGTATTGGTTCAGGCCTAAGGCATTCACCCTCACAGGTCGCCATGGCCGGATTAAGCTTAATAGGGGCCTGAGGCACAGATCAAGTTGGGGCCCCCTACCCTCAAGGTATATAAATATAGCAAGAACAAAATATACCAAAATTTATCAATGATTTCATCAATATTAAGCTTCTGCAAAATATTACATTCAATGTTCATAAGAAACAGAAAATTGAGACGTTGCTAGGACATCGTTGAACGAAGTTCATGTTTTATATGCTTCAACTTCTAGAATGTTTCGATTTGGGGGCCTCAAGTGCCTCATGGTTATTCCGGCACTGCAGGTCGCTGCGATTGGCTTGAACTTGGTGGGAACACACGTGTTATAGGTTCGCCACCCCTGCTCTAAGATTTTGTATCTATGACTAATTCTATTTTTTGCTAGGCTACACCTCTTATTCCCCATACATATCAAATAGTGGTGACACGTTTGGGGACCGTTTGTGTTTCTTTTTATGCTTGTCACAGGTGTATACGCCATTACTACAATGACATATATATATAGAGAGAGATACTCGTATGCTGTGCGTGTGCCCTTTTACTGGAGTTTGTATTCATATATAAACCTAAGCCCGCTTATTCTTTCTAAGCGAGTAATTTTTAATATGTTCACTAGAATGACTGATTCAACAAATTAGCTGTGTCGAGTACATGAAACGGCTTCATTTGTACATCGCAAACTATGTAAACTCCCTCATGTATACAAGAGACTCAACACCACACCCTTAATAGTATAACTCAATGGTAGGGATACTGATGATAATACTGACACACGCAGAAGTGGTAGTAATAAATTTAGGAGCAGTGGGAGTGTAACAATAAAAGGTGTAAGGAAGAACAACGATAATAGTAAGGAAAGAAACAACAGTCGGAACAAATAACATGAGTGTCAAGAAACAACGATGAACAAAACAGCAGTACCAGAAGGAACAACCGTGAGAACAGCAACATTGAGAAAAAAACGAGAACAACCGTATGAGTGAGATGAAACAAGTAAGAAAACCAACAAAAGTTATAACAACAACAGTTAGAACGGTGTAAGAAAAACGACATTGCGAATAATAACAATAACAACATCAAATAGCGAGGCGAATAACAACAGCATTGTAAGGAAAAATAAGTTACAACGAAAACAACAACAACAACAGTAAAAAAAAAAAGAGAACAACAAAGCCACAGTATATGAAGAAACAACAGTATGAGAATAACAGTAGAGAGAAAACAACAGGTGTACACTATCATCAACACGAGGGATGATGCACCAGTCTGGCACTCTACACCTGCACCACAGGTGTTACTCTCCCACAACAACAGTATTATTTCCGTCACTTTCACTCGTTGGCATATTACACGTGTGTGTGAGCGACTCTACAGACACTTCTGCTGGTGTGGCCGCTTGAAACAACTTCTACCACAAACAGTATATCAACTGTTACGTGATAGTCACCTGCGATTTTAAAAGAAATACTGCTATCTGCAGTGATCGTCTAGCAATACCCCAAAATATCATTGAGCTTTCAACAATTTAGTTTTACTGCAATTTCATTTGTGGTAATACTTGTGTACTAAACACTACAGCGTTAACATAAGAGCCTGTGTAAATCACACAACAAGCAAGCTATTGTCTGTTCTGCCCTGGTGGAGGTGAGTGATCGAGGGGCCCAACACAACCCCCTATCTCTGTTCACATATTTCTCTCTTTAGAAGTTGTAATTCTAATCATTAATCCTTTGAAATTGTATATAAAATTTAGCAACGTAGCTTTTTTTCCAAAGTGATGAAGTTATGTGACAGATTTTATGACTTGTTCTGTGATTCCAATCCTTGTATATTACCGAACTGTACGATCAATGACGTATAGTAAATTAGTGCAACAAACTCTAGTGTTGTCTACCTTACACAGTTATCAGGAGTGTTGGTCTACCTTACACAGTTATCAGGAGTGTTGGTCTACCTTACATTGTTATCAGGAGTGTTGGTCTACCTTACATTGTTATCAGGAGTGTTGGTCTACCTTACACTGTTACCAGGAGTGTTGGTCTACCTTACATTGTTATCAGGAGTGTTGGTCTACCTTACACTGTTATCAGGAGTGTTGGTCTACCTTACATTGTTATCAGGAGTGTTGGTCTACCTTACACTGTTATCAGGAGTGTTGGTCTGCCTTACATTGTTATCAGGAGTGTTGGTCTACCTTACATTGTTATCAGGATTGTTGGTCTACCTTACACTGTTATCAGGAGTGTTGGTCTACCTTACATTGTTATCAGGATTGTTGGTCTACCTTACATTGTTATCAGGATTGTTGGTCTACCTTATACTGTTATCAGGAGTGTTGGTCTACCTTACATTGTTATCAGGAGTGTTGGTCTACCTTACACTGTTATCAATAGTGTTGGTCTACCTTGCATTGTTATCAGGAGTGTTGGTCTACCTTACACTGTTATCAGGAGTGTTGGTCTACCTTACACTGTTATCAGGAGTGTTGGTCTACCTTACATTTGTTCATCAGTGTTGGGTGGCCTGTTATCCAGGGTGTTGGTCTACCTTACACTGTTATATCAGGAAATGGTAGTCTACCCATTGTTATCAGGAGTGTTCTGCCTTGCATTGTTACCAGGAGTGTTGGTCTGCCTTATACTGTTGTCAGGAGTGTTGGTCTTCCTTTCTGTTAGTCTATTATTTGGTCTACCTTATACTGTTATCAGGAGGTGGTCTACCTTACGGTTGTTATCAAGTGTTGGTCTACCTTACACTGTTGTATCAGGAGTGTTGGTCTACCTTACATTGTTATCAGGATTGTTGGTCTACCTTACATTTGCTATCAGGATTGTTGGTCTACCTTATACTGTTATCAGGGTGTTGGTCTACGCTTCTATTGTCCTCAAGTCATTGGTCTACCTTACACACTGTTATCAGAGTGTTAGCCTACCTTGCATTGTTATCAGGGTGTTGGTCTACCTTACACTGTTATCAGGGGTGTTGGTCTACCCCTTACACTGTTATCAGGAGTGTTGGTCTACCTTACATTGTTATCAGGGTGTTGGTCAACCTTACACTGTTATTAGGAGTGTTGGTCCTACCTTACACTGTTATCAGGAGTGTTGGTCTACCTTGCATTGTTATCAGGATTGTTGGTCTACCTTATACTGTTATCAAGTGTTGGTCTACCTTACATTGTTATGATGAGTATTGGTCTACCTTACACTGTTATCAGGAGTGTTGGTCTACCTTGCATTGTTACCAGGGTGTTGGTCTACCTTATACTGTTATCAAGTGTTGGTCTTCCTTTCACTGTTATCAGGAGTGTTGGTCTACCTTGCATTGTTTTAAGAGTGTTGGTCTACCTTACATTGTTATCAGGATTTTTGGTCTACCTTATATTGTTATCAGGAGTGTTGGTCTACCTTATACTGTTATCAGGAGTGTTGGTCTACCTTACATTGTTATCAGGAGTGTTGGTCTACCTTACACTGTTATCAGGAGTGTTGGTCTACCTTACATTGTTATCAGGATTGTTGGTCTACCTTACATTGCTATCAGGATTGTTGGTCTACCTTATACTGTTATCAGGAGTGTTGGTCTACCTTACATTGTTATCAGGAGTGTTGGTCTACCTTACACTGTTATCAGGAGTGTTGGCCTACCTTGCATTGTTATCAGGAGTGTTGGTCTACCTTACACTGTTATCAGGAGTGTTGGTCTACCTTACACTGTTATCAGGAGTGTTGGTCTACCTTACATTGTTATCAGGAGTGTTGGTCAACCTTACACTGTTATTAGGAGTGTTGGTCTACCTTACACTGTTATCAGGAGTGTTGGTCTACCTTACATTGTTATCAGGATTGTTGGTCTACCTTATACTGTTATCAGGAGTGTTGGTCTACCTTACATTGTTATGATGAGTATTGGTCTACCTTACACTGTTATCAGGAGTGTTGGTCTACCTTGCATTGTTACCAGGAGTGTTGGTCTACCTTATACTGTTATCAGGAGTGTTGGTCTTCCTTTCACTGTTATCAGGAGTGTTGGTCTACCTTGCATTGTTACCAAGAGTGTTGGTCTACCTTATACTGTTATCAGGAGTGTTGGTCTACCTTACACTGTTATCAGGATTGTTGGTTTACTTTACACTGTTATCAGGAGTGTTGGTCTACCTTACAGTGTTATCAGGAGTGTTGGTCTACCTTACACTGTTATCAGGAGTGATAGTCTACCTTACACAGTTATCAGGAGTGTTGGTCTACCTTACACTGTTATCAGGAGTGTTGGTCTACCTTACATTGTTATCAGAAGTGTTGGTCTACTTTACACTGTTATCAGGAGTGTTGGTCTACCTTACACTGTTATCAGGAGTGTTGGTCTACCTTACACTGTTATCAGGAGTGTTGGTCTACCTTACACTGTTATCAGGAGTGTTGGTCTACCTTACACTGTTATCAGGAGTGTTGGTCTACCTTACACGGTTATCAGGAGTGTTGGTCTACCTTACACTGTTATCAGGAGTGTTGGTCTACCTTACACTGTTATCAGGAGTGTTGGTCTACCTTACACTGTTATCGGGAGTGTTGGTCTACCTTACACTGTTATCGGGAGTGTTGGTCTACCTTACACTGTTATCAGGAGTGTTGGTCTACCTTACACTGTTATCGGGAGTGTTGGTCTACCTTACACTGTTATCAGGAGTGTTAGTCTACCTTACACTGTTATCAGGAGTGTTGTTCTACCTTACACTGTTATCAGGATTGTTGGTCTACCTTATACTGTTATCAGGAGTGTTGGTCTACCTTACATTGTTATCAGGAGTGTTGGTCTACCTTACATTGTTATCAGGAGTGTTGGTCTACCTTACACTGTTATCAGGAGTGTTGGTCTACCTTACACTGTTATCAGGAGTGTTGGTCTACCTTGCATTGTTACCAGGAGTGTTGGTCTACCTTATACTGTTATCAGGAGTGTTGGTCTTCCTTTCATTGTTATCAGGATTGTTGGTCTGCCTTACATTGTCATCAGGAGTGTTGGTCTACCTTACATTGTTATCAGGATTGTTGGTCTACCTTACACTGTTATCAGGAGTGTTGGTCTACCTTACATTGTTATCAGGAGTGTTGGTCTACCTTACACAGTTATCAGGAGTGTTGGTCTACCTTACATTGTCATCATGAGTGTTGGTCTACCTTACACTGTTATCAGGAGCGTTGGTCTACCTTACATTGTTATCAGGAGTGTTGGTCTACCTTACATTGTCATCATGAGTGTTGGTCTACCTTACACTGTTATCAGGAGTGTTGGTCTACCTTACATTGTCATCATGAGTGTTGGTCTACCTTACACTGTTATCAGGATTGTTGGTTTACTTTACACTGTTATCAGGAGTGTTGGTCTACCTTACACGGTTATCAGGAGTGTTGGTCTACCTTACACTGTTATCAGGAGTGTTGGTCTACCTTATACTGTTATCAGGAGTGTTGGTCTACCTTACATTGTTATCAGGAGTGTTGGTCTACCTTACACTGTTATCGGGAGTGTTGGTCTACCTTACACTGTTATCGGGATTGTTGGTCTACCTTACACTGTTATCAGGAGTGTTGGTCTACCTTACACTGTTATCCGGGGTGTTGGTCTACCTTACACTGTTATCCGGGGTGTTGGTCTACCTTACACTGTTATCGGGAGTGTTGGTCTACCTTGCTCTGTTATTGGGAGTGTTGGTCTACCTTGCGCTGTTATCGGGAGTGTTGATCTAACCTTGTGCTGTTATCGGGAGTGTTGGTCTAACCTTGAAATGTTATCGGGAGTGTTGGTCTAACCTTGCACCGTCTTCGGGAGTGTTGATCTAACCTTGCACCGTCTTCGGGAGTGTTGATCTAACCTTGCACCGTCTTCGGGAGTGTTGATCTAACCTTGCACCGTCTTCGGGAGTGTTGGTCCACCTTGCGCTGTCTTCGGGAGTGTTGGTCCACCTTGCGCTGCAAATTTTTTTAGGAGTTTCTTGAAGTTGTTCCACCGTTATACCAACCATATCTAGGAACCTTCTTTTCGGAATAAAACAGTTGAAGCTTTCTTAGGGAATATGGTGAGGTGCGGCGTCCAAGTTTATACAGCACTCGCTGTCTGACTTTAGGGTTACTATAATTATAGCGAGTGATGCGCTAAATCTTGACCCACACATTCTCTGTTTTTCCTGAACCCACAAACACTGTTCTTCTGCTACCACACTCTTTTTGCTACAACTGTACTTAAGTTGGAATAAGAATACTTTAAAATAAATGTACTTTCCAGAAAGTAAATCCTAGAAAAAGCTACTGAAGTAAATGTACTAAAGTACAGTTACTATAGAACTATACACCTCTTCACATAACCTTTATTATAATCTCCAACAGGTTTGTGTGGTTCTGGCAGTCATGAAGCAGGGGCGTCCTACACTCCTCTCCCTATTGCTTGTCCTTCTTCTGATTCTGTTGGGTGCTCACTCCAGCTTGACCAGCAAACAAGACGGAAGCAATTATCTAGAAAAAGGTAGATGGGACATGGGAAGATATGAGAGGGAGAGGATCAGAACTGAAGACACCCAGGACAGAGACTCTAAGAGGAAGGGTTCGATAACACAGCGGCTTGACGAACACCGAAAGGATGAAGTGAAAGAAAGAGATGTTTTAGAAATAAAAGAAAAAAATACTGAAAACAACAGATCAAAGAAATTGGATAAGAGAGAAAATGAAAGAAACTCAAGAAAGGGGAGTTTAAAGCTGAAAGAAGGTGTAGACAAAAATAAGTACTTAAAACACAAGAGTTGGGCAACAGAAGTTAAACGTTCTATGACAAAGAACAAGGGAAGTGAAAAATCTAAGAAAATTACGGAAGAAATAAATTCATCTAGAAAAACGAAAGAAAAAATGAACGTCATACAAAAAGATTATGACAAACACAAGAAAGAAAGAGGGAAAAGTGTCCTTGGGGAATCTACATTCAAACAGAACTTAAAAGATTCTAAAAGGGAGAACGCCCTGTTTAAAAATTCTGGAAAAGTGAAAAATGCTAGAAACTCTGAGAAGAAAGAAAACAAAATCGGGAAATCGGAAAAGGATGAAATTATTGACAAATCTAAAAAAATAAAAAATGAAAATAAATTTGGGAAGGCAAACACTCTGGAATCCGAGGGCGAGGAAAGCATTGATAAGAAATCTGGAAATTCAAATATATATAGGGGAAAAATTAACAAAATAAAGAAATCTGAAGAAAAAGAAAGCATTAACCCAAAAAAAGGAAAAGAGAGAAGTTATACAAAAGCAACGGCAAATACGAAACACATCAGTAAGCCTGAACAGAGAGAGAAGAAAATGAATGATACAGGACGAAAACAAATATTCCAAAGATTCAGAGAAGTGGAAGACAAACAAAATATCAAGATGAACAAGAAACAAATGAACGGGAAGCTGCGAGTTAAATTAAAGGAAGAAAATAAAGCTAACAATGAGAAACAAAGGATAAAAATACTGAAAAATAAAAACAATAAAAAATATAAAGGAACAATTTTGCCTGCTCAAGATGACATAGACGGAGACCGGCGAATAAAACTCTCGACCAAAACTGCCAAAATCTATCAAAAGCTAGCAGCTGAGAAACGCAAGAAAATGACAAATACTAATAAAGATCGAAATGACAACTCTCCCAGTAAGTTTAAATGTATTTTTTTAAAGGGTGTAGGAAATCAATAGCCTATGTAATCAAACTCAACCTAACCTAATGTCATTTGATATAAACTAAAAACTAACCCAATCTAACGAAACCTTTAGCCAAGTAGTGAGAATGAGTCTGTGGTAATACATAGATGTATAAAGAGTTGAGAAGAACACTGAAGTGAGTACATAGAGAACAGAGAACATGGTGATACATAGATATAGGCCTACATAGTGAAGTGAGAAGAACATGGTGATACATAGATATAGGCCTACATAGTGAAGTGAGAAGAACATGGTGATACATAGATATAGGCCTACATAGTGAAGTGAGAAGAACATGGTGATACATAGATATAGGCCTACATAGTGAAGTGAGAAGAACATGGTGATACATAGATATAGGCCTACATAGTGAAGTGAGAAGAACATGGTGATACATAGAGAACTAAGAGGAGAGGAGACAAAATCTAAAAAGAGAAAGATAGCAAGAAAACTGTTTATTTAAACAAATACGAAGAAGAATAGAGAGAACATTTTGGAAGAGAAAGGAGAGCAACTTTTAATACGTAAAGAAATGCACACCATAACCCCGCTAGGTATACAAATATTCACAATGCTGCATAATACAAAAATTAAATTGATATTTGTCAAGTATATCTAGAGACTAAAGTTGATATGGCAGCCATATACCGTATCTAATATAGTCGTCTGTTCTGTGAGTAGCTGTTAATATTAAATTATTCATATTTTTGTGATCCTGTACTATAAATACAAGAACACTTATCACACACCACTTAGAATGATTGTGTAATTCGGGGGTATCAGTAAGTTATTGTTATTTATGAATATATTCCTATAATTGAATCTCTAATAAGAAGGTTACATTCACCCACTGCCGCCACCATCACCACTTCCACCTTCGCCACCACCAACACTATCATCACCACTGCTGTCACCACTGCTACTACCCCCACCATCATCACCACAGCTACCATCACCACCATCGCTACAACTATCACCATCGTCACCACCGCTACCACTACCACCACCATTACCACCACAAATACTATAAACACCGCTACCATCACCACCAACACATTAACAACAACGTCACCACCAATAACACCACCACCGACAATAACAACAACAACATCCTCACCATCACCCAGCTGTAAATGGGTACTTAAGTTTACAACTTGGAAGTGAATGAGGTTGAGTGCAGCACCTGCCGCGTTGCCTCCTAGGGGACTGAAGGCTTAGTATACAGTGTGCGGTATCCACACAATTCCAAACAGGCAGTCATGACTATGGGGCCCACTTTTACTTTTTCACCATTACTACCATAACCCGGGTGAGCAATATAACTAGGGGTTTTTGTAATGCAATACAGTACTTTCACCGTTTACATTCCGGGTAACTAAATTTTTACTCAGGGTTTAGCCAGTTTTTTATTCAATTTTTTTTTATTTTTTTTTTATACTTGACCATCTCTCGTGGATGGAATAATCCACCTACTTCTACTCAGATAGCAGGAGTGTTCCCGCTCGCCCGACTGTATGAAGAACCGTTGATGTATGGTGTTTTTAGTTTAACAAATTTATTGACAAAGCTTGTAGTACAGTTTGCCTATTCTGAGTAATTCAGTCAGGTCTTGACACTGAGGGTGGTATCACTTCTCACTGCCACGCAGGACAGAGGATCATACACAAAGAAATACATCATATTCTTTAACAGCTATAAATGTATAGAGGTCAGATTCATATGGATAATGTCACTGTTCACTGCCATGCAGGACAGAGGTTCGTACACAAAGAGATGCATCATATTCATTGACAGTACATATACATATATGTACACACACACATACACATATACATACATATACATATATATACATACACATATACATGTACATATATATACACATAGGCACACATACATATATACATATACGTCGGTCAGATTCATGTGGGTAATGTCACTCTTCACTGCCATACAGGACAAAGGTTCGTACACAAAGAATGCATCATATTCATTGACACTATATATAGGTCAGATTCATGTGGGTAATGCCACTGTTCACTGCCATGCAGGACAGAGGTTCGTACACAAAGAAGGAAATACATCATATTCATTAGCAGTATATATAGGTCAGTGGATCACATACATTGGAGTCATATTCTAATTGAAGACTAATCAGTGTGACTAGCAAATTTGGGATAAACAGCAAGAATGTCCTCAAGCACACCTGATTCAATGAAGTAATTACATAGTTCAAGATACAATAAGTCAGGTGGCCTGAAGTCTTTGACAGTGTTACATTCAATAGCATAGTGTTTAAGTGTATGCTTTAAAGGTTTATCACAAAGTTTACATGCTGAGTGTTCCGGTATGGGTACGGCGTTACTAAATTGCCAGATGTGTCTGTATCCTAGCTAATTCTGGCCACGACTACATCACATTGCCTGGATCTGTCCTTATGCTGGCCATACCGGTACCTCTTGTCACAAAATTTGTCATATTTACTAATGCTACAACTGTCAGGTCTCTCTGCATTTCTCACTTCTTCTAGATCAGAGTTCATGATTCTGACTTGAATGTTTTTAAATGCAGCATTGGTCAGGCCAAGGTCACGGTCAACCTTTTCTTTCTTACATGCCTCATTGGCCAGTCTATCAGCATGGTCATGATACCTGATTCCAACATGGGACAGAATCCACACAAATTCGATACGAAAGTTGTTCTCATTGGCAGTTATCACATTCCTTTTAATATCACATACAACTTTAGACATAGAGCCTGACGGGCTGTTCATAGATTTCAAAGCACTTTGAGAGTCACAGAATATCACCCCACCTCCATTTTCTTTGAGGTAGTCTGTGGCTAGGTAGATTCCAGTTAGTTCAGTTTGTGTTGTGCTGGCCCAGTTGTTCAGCCTTTGTTTGTTTGACATTATCATCTCTTTTTCTTTATATATTACAATTGAACAGCCTGTTCTACCTGTGTTTGTCTGCACAGAACCATCAGTAAAAGCATAAAATTCACTTGATTTAATACTCTCTATGTGTCTGTTAATAGTTTCTAGTGTGACACATCTCACCACATCAGTGTTTAACATTTGCTTACTACCAACAGGAGTGTAATTAATAGGAACTGATATGTCCAGCCAAGGAGGAATGGCATTAATGGGTTCGTCTGGGGTGATTGGGACATTCAGTTTCAAGAGATCTGCAACACTTTTGCGAAGCCACGCCCCAAAGAGAGTCTTTTGTGGAAGGTTAGCGAGATAGTCGGGATTACTTAGATAGAACATCAACTCAGTTTGAGCTGTAGTTTGAGAACCATTGTTCTTCAAAACTTTGACAAAACATGGTATTAAGTAGAGCTATCCTCTCAGATAGGGAGGGCAGTCCGAGCTCTTTCCTCATGTTTACAATTCTGGTTGATTTTGGGCAACCTAGGATGCTGCGCATGGCTTCATTTTGCACTATCTCAAGGCTGTTGAGTTGTTTAGGCGGAATAGTCACAAGATGGAGAGCATGATAGTCAACTACAGAACGAATAAAGTGAAAATAGAAAGTACGAGCATAGGTGATGTTAATTCCATAGCCCTTGCCAACAAGGGTTCTGAGGGGTTTAATGCCCTGCATTAGTTTGTCACGAAGGTTGCTGACAAAGTTTGCATCATTCACACAAATTCCAAGATATTTATGAGAGCTACATAGTTCCAAGGGCATGCTGTTAATGTTATGGTCAAGAGGCAGAGGGTGAGCAGGACGAGGATTGAGGACCCTTGTCTTGTCAACAGATATTATGAGACCACATTCAACAGTTCTCCGAGCAAATACATCCAGCAAGGCTTGGAGCCTGAGTTTGGTTTGTGTCATAATGCAGGTATCATAAGCATAGCATATTATGGCTTCGTTTGGCTGAACTGGAATGTAAGCAATAAGCTTGTGCATCAGTATATTAAAGAGCATAGGACTTAACACTCCTCCCTGAGGCGTGCCAAGCTCAAATGATCTCATTCTGGTACTTTTAACTCCCCTAAAAAGAACACTGGCATACCTGTTGGACAGATAACCCTTTATCCATGTCAGGAGGTTACCTTGGATGCCAAAATTCTCTAGTTGCTCAAGTATAATGTCTCTATTAGCTACATCAAAGGCTGATTTAAGGTCTATGAAGGCTGTTTGTGTCTTATCTTTTGAGTGAACAAGATATTCTGCAAAGCACGTCTGTCTGCTACGCCCGGGCATGAACCCGTACAGATTAGAGGCGAGTTTGTCTTTGACTTGAAACATGAGACGGTTTAGAACAACTCTTTCAAGGACTTTACACATACAGGATGTGAGTGAAATTGGCCTGAAGTTTGGAGAATTAGCTTTAGGGATTGGAACTATGTTTCCATGAGTCCATGTCTTAGGCAGAATACCCTGTGTGAGGCTCATTTGATACAGGTCAAGCAGTGGATGGTTAGGGATCTCATTCAACAATCTCAGGGTGTTATAGGTTATGCCATCCTCACCAGGGGAGGATGACTCACCTTTCATTATTGCTGTTGTTAGCTCGTGGTGCGTTATAGGAAACTGGTCGGTAAGGTCTGGTGAGGAACAGGCTATTTCAATATTGAGACCCCTATTAATGTGTGTGGTGTTAAGATATTGTTGTATGTCAGGAGGCAGGGAAGTGATTTGTGAGACACTAGACCATTGGTCTAATAGCATGTCAGCATATTCTGCAGGGCTGTGATGAAGCTGGACTGGGGTGGGTGACTTGGTAATGGCTCTAATTTTGTTCCACATTTCTGCTAGAGTGGTTGTTCTATTAATCCCCTGTAAGATTGTTCCCAAACGGTGTTTCTCATCTGACCTTTGAGTTCACGAAATTCTCTGTTAGCTTTGAGGGATGCCAAGAGGTTATCACTAGTTTTATTTTGCTTATAAGTGTTGGCAAGCTGTTTTACACTTTCTCTTTCTTTGGTGAGGATGGGGTCATGTGTCCACAGAGGTGGTTTAGTGCTGCCCCCCTTCCTCCTTGACTTAACCCAGGTGGTATAATATGTGGTAATGACATTTACAAGATCACAGCAAAATTCATCCACTGACCCAGGTGTATATCCAGCATACCATCTGTGGATGTAGGCCTTGAAGTGCAGTTTAAGATTTTCTGGGATGTTAATTCTGAGCTTAGGATGGGGTTCACACTTGACATCAGCAACAGTGTATTCAGTAAGTATTGCATAATGATCACTGACTAGGTGGTCTGAGATGACCTTAGCCTTGACATTACTGTCTACTAGGTTATACCCAATCAAATATTCAAGTCTGGCCCCCCTCAGATGAGTCACTTTGTCTGTGTCGTATACAGTGATATTATGATTATTGGTGTAATTCACGAACGCCCTTCCATTAGAGTTACACTGGACATCACCGAGGACAGTGTGACGAGAGTTAAAGTCACCCATACACAGCATAGCATTGTTACCTGATGGCTTTGGTAACACGTCCGCTCGCAGTTCATTACACCGAACATAGATGTTATACAGCGAAAATTGACTGTTTGCTGTCTTTACTGTAATTTGATGATAGTGAATACTTTCATCATTATGAGTTTTAATCCATTTACAGACCAGACCATTCTTTACATAAGTGAGCAGGCCACTTCCTGCTCCACTAATATATGCTGTAAACCCAGCTATCCTGGGTGCAACTTTCTTCTGGGTTGCTGGACGTGTAAGGTTCTTGTAAACCAATTACATCAATGTCAAAAACTTTAACAAACCATTGTAGGTCATTAATTCTGCGGTTAACACTCCGGATGTTCCATGAAATGAACCTAAGCGTTCGTGTTACTTTTCCCACCTTGAATTTAGCGTAGAGAGTCGCATGCTGGCTTCATAGATCAACCTGACCAATAAGCTGACCGGTGTGAAACAGATATTGTATAGATTAACAGTTACTTAAAAGCTTATCTTTCTAAGCATTCATTTCATCGAGACTTCATTACCTAGGTACTCTTTAATTCTGCGCATGAGTTTCTTCTGTATCCCTGTTATAAGTAAACTTTCTTTGTACAGTGATAGTTATTGGAAACTTGTATCTCGTCCATTACTGCCACGATGCCATATGTACGGAATAACCTCAGATGAATGTACATATTTTTTTTCTTCTCGTTTAATGTTGACCTGTTTATACGAGTCGTTGTTTATACTTGCAGTGTACCAAGTGTCCCGCTGCAAGGCTACCCACATCCTCGCCCTCAACCAGCCCATCCTTTTCAACACCGATGGGGAGAAAACCGCCAGAAAGTGTCGTGTCACCTTCAAGGTTAGCCTTCTCGTTTCTTTATAAAAATAACTTCTTTTACAACCACCGATGCACTTGCTTTTGACCATTACTTACTTACTTGTCTCTTTTCACTTACTAGAGTATGTTAGGAAGAAAGCTAGCGAATACTTTAGTAACCTTTATTGGTTTATTCTTGTCTGTCCTCTATCTTTCTTTCCCTCCCACTTTTATGTGGGGTAGATCAGGGGGTTCATAAACCTTAAAGAGACATACAGGGAAGACTACAAGGGTGGGGTGATACAGGAAAGGGCTAAAGGACTCCATACACACTCACATCCTCAACTTAAATATGCAGCAGACAATAAGGGTTCTGAGGTTCCTGTTGATTTATGACGTTCCATATCCATTTACTATGCTTAATAAGTTGTGTAATCAGATTCGCTAAGTGATCACGAATGGAATGACTCAAATGTACTGGCTGTCAATTAGTAATGGTTTGTCAACACTGTTAGAAAAATATGGAAACAAAGTGAAGCTACAGAAAGATATCTTGTCAGTTTTAGGGATAATCAAAAGAATGGCTATAGATATTCAACATTACGAAATACAGGAGGATGCACCTTGGTCGTACCAACAGTAAGGAGGTGTAATGCATGTCCCAACGGGACAAAGAAACCGCATCAACGAAGACCAAATGTGAATAGGACCTGGGTGTGTATGTCGACAACGAGCTGAAGTTCTCGTCCGTTGTGAGAAGGTGACTCAAACGACTAAGCTAGTGAATCTTAAAAGAAGGTCGTTCTGATATCTAAAATATCTAGACGTTCCGTCTCTTGTAACGCTCTTCAAAAGTGAGGTGCTTCCTCTTTTGAATTACTATCTGGTCCCCGAGATATGCTAGAGACTACGGCACCTCGGTTACCCAGAGATTAGGGCGCCTGCAGCTGCCGAATTTATACTATCCCTGTATAGGCGGGCATGGAGTGACCCAATAGAAGTTTATCAACCTCTCGGAGAGCACCACTGAGTCGAGTGTTCATACCTGGAGCTGGCGGATGCCCGTCCCATTAGGGGTCACAGCTCAAGGTTGAAGAAGCCACAAGTCCAGAAAATTGTCAGGACAAACTATTTTGGGGTGAGAATTGTAAACTCTTGGAATAATCTGCCTGTGTTGTGAAGGCACGGAGTGTGAGCTTATTCAAGACCACTTACTTACTTTTATCCTCTTCACCACTGATCACCTCGTTAGCCGCTTGGGAGATCTGTCACGTCTCTGTCACGCACTGTTGGTAAGTACTAGTCATGTACTGGCTCTCTGTTACGCAATGTTGGCAGGTACTGGGCACGCACCGGCTCCTGAATGTACCTGAACCTGCTCCAGTGTTGGTCAAGTCTGGTCTTGAAAGAACTCACACTCGGTGCCGTCACAACACTTTCTGGCGGATTGTTCCAAGAGTTCACAACTCTCACTCCGAGAAAGTCTGCCCTCACAGTTTTCTGGACTCGCAGCTTCTTCAATTTTGAGATGAATTCACAATCATCAGAGAATCTGATTACTATTAAAAATTGTCAGTTTTATATCTTAGAAGATCATTATTCATTGAGGTAAACCTGTCAGCCTATCGCTGGCCTGAAGTTTTAATGGTCGAGCCTCAGAAGGCCTCTGTTGGATTTATGCCTCTTCAGCAGAAAGTGCCAATGCCAGTCGACGCACTTTTTGGTACTTTAATTATTGCATTGCAAGTTTGAATACTGATTAGATTGTGTGCAATAGCTTTAAGAAATTGATCTGATCCATAAATGATTTTCATAGCCCATTGTATACGAAACTGAGTTAAATGAATATGTACACGCGTTTTTGAGGTTACATCCGGGGGTTCTTGAGGTGGTACCCTTGAAATTTAAACTGGGAGGCAGGGGAGAAAAGTTCATTCTGAATTGCTGCTCCCTCTACAAACAGGTATGTACGTATATAGTGTATCACTTTTATCCTCTTCACCACTGATCGGCTCCTTAGCCGCTTGAGCGATCGGTCACGTCTCTGTTACTTTTCCTTTTCTTTTATCCTCTTCACCAAATGATCGACTCGTTATCCGCTTGGGCGATCGGTCACGTCTCTGTTACGCACTGTTGGCAAGTACTGGGCATGCACCGGCTCCTGAATGTACCTGAACCTGCTCCAGTGTTGGTCAAGTCTTGTCTTGAAGGAGCTCACACTCGGTGCCGCCACAACACTTTCTGGCAGATTGTTCCAAGAGATCACAACTCTCACTCCGAAAAAGTTTGCCCTCACTGTTTTCTGGACTTGCGGCTTCTTCAATCTTGAGCTGTGACCCCTTGTGGGGCGAGCGTCCGCCAGCTCCAAGTAAGGACACTCGACTGAGAAGTGCCCCTTGAGATGCTTATACACCTCAATTAGATCACCCCTTGCCCGTCTGTAGTATAAGCTAAGCAAGTTCAGGCGCTCCAATCTCTCAGGGTAGCTGAGGTGCCGGAGTGCAGGCACCAGTCTGGTGGCCCTCCTTTGAACATTTTCAACCAACTGACAATGCCTAGTATATCTCGGGGACCAGATGGGGTGACAGTACTCCAGATGGGGAAGCACTTCACTCTTGAAGATCCTTACGAGGGACGGACCGTCTAGATATCTGAACGACCTTCTTATAAAACCCAATAATTTATTTGCCTGATTTACCTTCTTCTCGCAATGGCCCGAGAACTTCAGCTCATTGTCAACATATACACCTTGGTCCTTCTCACATTCATTCTCAAATAGTGCAGTTTCTTCATCCCGTTGGGACATATGATACGCCTCCTTACCGTTGGTACGCCCCAGGTGCATCATCTTGCACTTCGTGACATTGAATCTCAGCAGCCATTTCTTCGACCATTCTTGGAGCCCACAGACGTCCTTCTGCAGCTCTTCACAGTCCGCTTGGTTCTTGATTTCCCGAAATAACCTGGCGTCATCGGCAAACATTTGTATGGAGGAGTGTACAACGTCAGGCATGTCATTTATGAAACAAACAAGCAACAGCGGGCCCAATACACTGCCCTGTGGTACCCCGCTTGTGACAGGTACGGATGGTGATTTCGTGCCATTAATCACCACACAATGCTTGCTGTCATGTAGAAAGTCTTCTATCCACGCTAGGACATTTCCCCGAATTCCGTACCCTTCCTGTTTGATTTTCAGTGCTAGGTCTTGGATGCACCATGTCAGGGCCGGGACTCTTATGGACATTTAGCTTTGACAGTTTATTTCTAATACCCTCTTCTGTGAACACAATGTGGGTCAGTGCTGTGTCAAACCGTCTGTCCTCAAACGCAGGAAGGTTAATCGCATCCTCTCTTGTGAACCACTTCGGTGGTTTGTCAGTATTTATGTGCTATCTCTATGTACAGGGCCGTCCCTAGGAGGGTGCTGGGCTCGGGGCAACTGAGCCACTGCCGGGCCCCACACTAGTGTCAGATTATGCGGTCAGAGGAACCCACCCCCACCAACCCCCATGAGACTGTCGCTATGGATGGTAAGGTCACGGTTGCAATGGTGGCGTCAGCCGTCAGGTCAAATTAACCAGTCAACAGGTAATGTGTCCGAGGTCAGTGGGTCTAATGCTGCGCCCCGCGGGGCCCCCCACACGCGCGGGGCCCCGGGCGGTCGCTCCTGTTTGCCACCCCCCCCCTTAGAGTTAGAAACGCAGAAAAATAATATAAACTTTCTTTGAGGCGGTAATAGCTAATAGAATGCCTTTACGGATAGCCAAGTTTGTTGATTTTATTATTATTATTTTTTAACTAGTATTTCCTTATACTTTCTTTTCCTTTTTTTACTTTTATCCTCTTCGCCACTGATCGGCTTGTTAGCCGCTTGGGCGATCGGTCACGACTCTTTTCCTTTATATTCTTCACCAAAAGGTCGGCTCGCTAGCCGCCCGGGCGATCGGTCACGTCTCTGTCACGCACTGTTGGCAAATACTGGGCATGCACCGGCTCCTGAATGTACCTGAACCCGCTCCAGTGTTGGTCAAGTCTTCTTTTGAAAGAGCTCACACTCGGTGCCGTCACAACACTTTCTGGTAGATTGTTCCAAGAGTTTACAACCCTCACTCCGAAAAAGTTTGCCCTCACGGTTTTCCGGACTTGCGGCTTCTTCAATCTTGAGCTGTGACCCCTTGTGGGGCGAGCGTCCGCCAGCTCCAAGTAAGGACATTCAACTGAGTAGTGCCCCCTGAGATGCTTATAAACCTCAACTAGGTCCCCCCTTGCCCGTCTGTAGTATAAGCTAGGCAAGTTCAGGCGCTCCAATCTCGCAGGGTAGCTGAGATGCCGAAGTGCAGGCACCAGCTTGGTGGCCCTCCTTTGAACATTTTCAACCAACTGACAGTCCCTAGCATATCTCGGGGACCAGATGGGGTGACAGTACTCCAGATGGGGAAGCACTTCACTCCTGAAGATCGTCACGAGGGACGGACCGTCTAGATATCTGAACGACCTTCTTATAAGACCCAATAATTTATTTGCCTGATTTACCTTCTCAACGACTATATCTCTTTGTGCTATCACTGTGTACACTGTATCTCCCTGTGAATGGTGTAATGTAGGCACAGTTTCAGTCCATGAGAAAGCACACAAACAAAATAAAATTTAAAGTCTCTGTGGCACCTATAACACGACTTGGTTTCAGCTGGCAGTGGTGCACTTCCAGCTTGCTTGCCAATTTGTATTCTATTAAGTTATTTACAACCTTTTCCGTGGTCACTGATGACACTATGAGCTGATTTAACTAAAGGCACAGTACTACACTCCCTGGTTGGCCTTTATCACAGCCGTGACCACAACTCCGTAAAAAAAAATTATAATAAAAGTTTGTCATATGGCAATGGTTTTGTGGTTGTAGGCCTCTTGACCTGCGGGTCGTGTTGCGTCTCTGTAACAAAGCGTGTTCGGCTCTCGGGACTTCGTTATTGAGCCGCAGAAATTGGACAGTGATTACATAAGATCATCAAGATCGTCTTAGTGATGTGAAAGTGTAAATC